CTCTGAGACACCTTTGGGTAGTGAAGGGCAAAGTATAAATCCAATCTCTTCTTCTTCTTCTCTTACCTCACAGGGTGTCTGTTGTGGGGAGGGGAAGGGAGAGGAGTTTGTAAGCCGCTCTGAGACACCTTTGGGTAGTGAAGGGCGGGGTATAAATTCAATGTCCTCTTCTTCTTCCTCTTCATTTACCTCACAGGGTGCCTGTTGTGGGGAGGGGAAGGGAAAGGAGTTTATAAGCCGCTCTGAGACTCCTTTGGGTAGTGAAGGCTGGGGTATAAATCCAATCTCCTCCTCTTCTTCTTCTTCCTCTTCCTCTTCCTCTTCTTCTTCTTCATGCCCCCCCCCCCGCTGCTGATGCTTGCAGAATGACATTGTGAGATGTGAGCTGGGAAGTCCTTGGTTCCGATCTTGTCTCTGTCTCAAGCTCACAAGGTGACCCATCTGTCAGTCACATTTTTGACCCAATTCCGCACGCGCCTGTGCTGAACCGCTGGCCCTTTAATGGTCGTCTGGAAGCCATTTCTCTCCCCACCCCCAGTCTCGACTGGGCACCCACTGAGTGTTTTTAAGAAAGTGGATGGGGGCCAGGTGGGGACTTTGCCAGCCAGGCTTCTGATTGGCTGCTGGTGACTTGCTTGGCTGTGCGGATTTTTAAGACATCGCTTCGGCACCAGCTCCCCGCCTCCTGTGGCAGCCATTTTGTGACTGCACCCACCGCGCTGCGTCAGAATCCCAAAGCTGCCGGTGGGCTTCAAAAAGGTTGGGGACCCCCGGTTAAAACCTACACACGCGTTTATTTCTTTACATGACTTATTGTCTGCCTTTCTCACTGTGACTCAAGGTGAATTAGATAGTGTCCTGGCCTGGGTAGCCCAGGCAAGTCTGATCTCATTGTATCTCGGAAGCTAAGCAGGGCCGACCCTGGCAGGTATTTGGATGGGGGACCTCCAAGGAATACCAGGGCAGGGAGGCAGAGGCAGGCAATCAGTCACTTCTCTGAATGTCCTCCATGCCCCAGTAGTAGCTGCCAGAGTTTGCCATAACTCCCAGGTACGGGGACACACACACACACACACACAAAATACCGCCTTGAAAGGTGGATTGGGGCCGCGGTGGCTCCGAGGTTAAGACACTGAGCTGCAGACTGGAAGGTCTGTAGTTCAGCGGTTCAAGATCCGAGTGCCACGTGATGGAGTGAGCTCCCGTCTCCGGCCCCAGCTCCTGCCAACCTAGCAATTCGAAAGCAAGAAATTGCAAGTTTCCCGCTTCGGTGGGAAGGTAACAGCATTCCGTGCACCTCTGTGTTTAGTCATGCCGGCCACATAACCACAGAAACATCTTCAGACAGTGCTGGCTCTTCAGCTTGGAAACGAAGATGAGCACCGCCCCCTAGAGTCGGATTCGACTGACTTTCAAGCAAGGGAAACCTTTACCTTTAATCATTAAAGGTGGATTACATAGTGTAAGTCAATGCAACTAATAGACTGAGATATCTAATAATCAACGTAATAGGACTAGGAGTACAGAAGTCTGAAATAAAACATGAACTTTTAGATACGGTACGTTAAACAGTGCAGAACGTGGTACTGCATAAGTAGAAAGCAACGCAGTGAAGGTAGTTCTGCAGGGTTTTTTTAGGCCAAGGCCTAAATCTCCCTTTGAGCCAGTTTGGTGTAGTGGTTAAGTGTGCGGACTCTAATCTGGGAGAACCGGGTTTGATTCCCCACTCCTCCACTTGCACCTGCTGATGTGACCTTGGGTCAGTCACAAGCTCTGGCACAGCTGTTCCTGAAAGAGTAGTTTGTGTCAGAGTTCTCTCAGCCCCACCCACCTCACAGGGTGCCTGTTGTGGGGAGGGGAAGGGAAAGGAGTTTGTAAGCCGCTCTGAGACTCCAAGTGAAGGACGGGGTATAAATCCAATCTCTTCTTCTTCTTCTTCTTCCTTTGCCATTAAAGTCTGACAGCTCTTTTGCTGGGCCAGACCAAGATCTGTTTAGCCCAGGAGAGCCAGGTAGCCATTGGTCTGAACAGCAGAACAGATTCTGAGTCCAGCAGCACCTTTAAGACCAACAGAAGTTTATTCAAGTTATTTCTTTGCATACTGGAAAGATTTTAAAGACTATTTGGAAAAGTACTGGGATGTGAGAGACAATTTATTTTGCTTTGATAATTATTGAAGGTTAAAAGATATTAAAAATAGATAATGATATAAGGATAAGAAATGAAGGGATAAGTTACCTATGGACTTAAGTAGAAAAAGGGAGGGATGAAGAACATCTAAGGAACGAACAGGAGGTTGGAGCACTGTGGGGAGCCGAGTGGGGGGGGGAAGGGAGGAGGGTAGGATGTGAAATTATATAATGTTTGAGTTATGTTTGACTTTGTTTATTATATCCTAATAATTTTTTTAAAAAAATAAAATAAATAAGTTTATTCAAGTTATGAGTTTCCGTGTGCACTGCAGAAGTGTGCGTGCAAACACAAGCTCATACCTTGAGTAAACTCCCATTGGTCTTAAAGGTGCCGCTGGACTCAATTTGTCTGGCCCGGTGTTCTGTTTCCAGCCGTAGAGAAGCGGAGATTGCCCGAGAGCTATGTTCTGTGACGGATCCTCCCTTCCTCAGCGCGTGTGCATGACTGCGGTTGTGCGTGCCCATTCTCTCTCTCTCTTTCTCTGTCGCCTGCACGTTCAAAGTTCGCTTTGGGGTTTGCTCTTCTCCCCGAGGGGCTGGGCCAGTCCTGCCAGGTAACAGAACCTGCGTTTCTCTCCTCTCTGCCAGGTGTGCAACAACAAAGGCAACTGCCACTGCCAGCCGGGTTGGGCGCCCCCGGACTGCCGGAGCAGCGGGCGAGGGGGCAGCATTGACGGTGGCTCGCCTGCCACGGAGCGAGGTAAATCTGGGGAGAGGGAGAGGCGGGACGTGTGAAGCTGCCGCCCTCTTGGGCAGAGACAGAGGCCTGCCCAGCAGCCGGATATGCTGGAGTCTGAGCCTGGGTTCCTTTGCGTGCGAAACCATTGCTCTGCCCCCAGGACTGTTTTGGACTGGGGTGCCGGGGGGAGCTCTGCAGCTTACCTGGCTGCTTCTTGCTCTGACTGAGGGCTGCTGGGAGCAGGGGTGGGGCTTGTTGCATGTGCCCGCCCCCCTGGGCTCTTTACTGCCGGAGCTCCGCTCCTGTGCGCCCCTGCAGGAAATGAACCCTGGGGTGGACCAATAGAGCGGACGGGAGTCTTGAATTAATGTTGGCATTCGTGTCTCCGATAGCTCAGTGTGGCTCCTGTGGGGCCGTTGGCTAGGCCGTAATCGTGTCCGTAGCTCTCTGGCGGCTCTCGGCAGAGGTGCTCCCATCTTTACTCCCAGGCGCAGCATCCCTGAGCGTGGCTGTGTGGAGCAGGACCGGCGCCGGCATACTCTGAGGCAGGGCGTCTGCCAGGGCCCGGAGCTTCTTGCAGTGCCCGCTGCCACTCACCTACCTGCCCACCCTTCCCCTGCCCGGTCACTTGCGAAGGCTCCCCCTCCGGCGCTCCTGACCAGCCGGCCTGCTCAGTACCACCAGGAAGAGTGCACAAGTTATGGCAGTACTGTGACATCACCGTCGGCTCCTGGCTGCATTGAATTTTTCTGACCAAGCAAGAAAGGGACACAATGGGGCCATCTTTATAGGAAAGTGTACCTGACCATGGCAGCAAACCAGGGGTCATTTCGTAGAAAAAGAGGTGCAGGAGCTAATTAGCATAACTCATTAGCATAACTTATCTGCATATTCCACACCCCCTGACATCAGCGGAAGTGTGTCAGAAGGCAACACCCACCGCTTAGGCTTCATTGGACTGTTTTGGATTGCTAGCTATTGGGGGGGGGAACATGCAGATCTGTCCTCACAGAGGAGGGAGAGCTTGGACCTGAATAAAACTTGGTCTTAAAGGTGCCACTAGACTGTTTTGGGCCGGGGCTCTGCAGCTTACCTGGCTGCTTCTTGCTCTGACTGAAGGCTGCTAGGAGCAGGGGTGGGGCTTGTTGCATGTGCCCGCCCCCTGGGCTCTTTACTGCCGGAGCTGCGCTCCTGCAGGAAATGACCCCTGCAGCAAACTATCAAGAGCGGGGCCTCTGATTAACGCCCTTGGCTGAAGAGTCTGGGACTTTTCAGTTTAGCAAAGAGACGACTAAGGGAGGGACACGAGAGAGGTTTCTGAAATTACGCACGGGGTGGAGAGGGTGGACAAAGCGAACTCCTCCTCCCTTCTCCCCAAATGCCAGGACTCGAAGGCATCCAGTGAAGCTGACGGGCAGTAGGTTGAGGACGGACAGAAGGAAATACCACTTTATACAGAGAGTGATTAAAAGGCGGGATTCGCTGCCAGAGGATGTAGTGGTGATGGCCACGGGAGTAAACAGCTTTAAAAGGGGATAAGATGGGTTCATGGAGGAGAAGTGCAATGCTCCCTCTAAGCTGTGGGGTCTTGTGGGCAAACATTCTACTTTGTGAGCTACTGGCATTGAAGTTGTGAGCGGGCGATTTGGCCGCTGCATAAATTAGTTTGCTCTGGAGCCATCCTTCCTGAGCTGAGACAAAAATGTGTGAGACGGAGGCTAAAAAACTCTGAGCTAGCTCCACACTAACTCGGCTTAGTGGGAACACTAGTTCTGACTCAGGATAAGTCCCGGAAACCAAAAAAAAAAAAAGAAGGCTGCTGCATAAATTAGTTTGCTCTGGAGCCATCCTTCCTGAACGGAGACAAAAAATGTGAGCTGAAGGCTAAAAAACTGTGTGCTAGCTTTCACTAATTCAGCTTAGAGGGAACACTGGATACAAGCTATGGTGGCTATGGGGAACCTCCACAGCCGCACCCACAGCTTGATGCTCTGTTGAGGAAAGGGTCCCCAACAATGCTCCCTCTAAGCTGTGGAGCCCTCCTTCCTGAACGAAGACAAAAAACTGTGAGCTGGAGGCTAAAAAACTCTGTGCTAGCTCACACTAACTCAGCTTAGAGGGAACACTGGTCGGCAGGTGGCTGAGAGTGTGGGAGGGGTCATGAGCAGCCAGGGGAAGGTCACACGGGCAGGTGTGGGGTACATGGTGGGGTCTGCGTAAAGTAGTATTTCCTTTTGCCCGTCCTCAACCTACTGCCCGTCAGCTTCATTGGATGCCCTCGAGTTCAAGTCTTTTGGGAGAGGGAGGAAAAGTTTTCTTTGTCAACTGTCTCCGCCCTGCCCACAATATTCTAAACCCCTGTCATGTCCTGCCCCGTATAGGTGGGTGGGCTGACAAAACGTTCAAAGGCACACCGCGTCTCCCCCCCCCTCCCGTAACCCTCCTCTACGCGATCAACCCTTTCCTCCCTCTTCTCCCAGTCTTTCTCCTTTCATTTAGTTAGTAGTATTATGTGGCGGGTTTGTGTCCCGCCGTGTGTGACCCAAGTCCCCCAAGCGACCCGCTTTTCATTTAAAACAAATCAACACCTTTTCAGTTCAAAACACCCCCCCCCCCAACATCCATAAAACGAGCGGACCCCTAAAGAGGAGGAGGGGGCGGGGAAAGAAGAGGACAGATTGGGGGGGGGGGGAGACTAAGAGTATTTAGATCTTGTTTCTAGGTGGGCTTTTTTGTTGCTTTGTTTTACCGTTCAGTTTCTTAATACGTGCAGATGTCCTCCCACACATGAAGAACACTGAGTTCCTCTCGGTGAGGGGGACGGGAGAAACGAGAAGGGTAGTTCTGAGCCTATCTAGGAACAGTCGTAGGTTGGCCATTTGTCTCAATTCCCACTTTCTCCGTTGTCGAGTTCATGGAGGAGGGGGTCCAGAAAAGGCTATCGGCAGTAGAGCCTCCATATTTAGAGGCAGTATACCCCACAATACCAGTGCTGAGTGGCAACCGTAGGGGGAGACTGACCTCGGTGCCCTGCTTCTGGGCACACTGAGGGCATCTGGTTGCCCCCTGCAGGGAGACCAGGATGCGGCACTAGATTTAGTTAACTTTTGGTTATTTAATTCATTTGTACCCTGCCTTTCCAGTGGGGACCCAAAGCGGCGTGCATGTTTCTCCTCTCCTCCATTTTATCCTCACAACCAGGGGTCATTTCCTGCAGGAGCGCACTGGAGCGGAGCTCCGGCAGTAAAATGTCCAGGGGGCGGGCACATGCAACAAGCCCCACCCCCTGCTCCCAGAAGCCCTCAGTCAGAGCAAGAAGCAGCCAGGTAAGCTGCAGAGCCCCCCCCCCCAGGCCCCCGGTCCAAAACAGTCCAGTGGCCCCTTTAAGACCAGGTTGTATTCAGGTACAAGCTCTCCCTCCTCTGTGAGGACAGATCTGCACGTTCTCCCTCTCCCCCAATAGCTAGCAATCCAAAACAGTCCAGTGGAGCCTGAGCGGTGGGTGTTGCCTTCTGACACACTTCCGGTGATGTCAGGGGGCGTGGCATATGCAAATAAGTTATGCTAATGAGTTATGCTAATGAGCTCCTGCACCTCTTTCTCTACAAAATGACCCCTGCGTCACAACTACCTTGTGAGGTAGGCTAGGCCCAGTCTGTGTGACCAGCCCGCAGTCGCCCAGCAGGCTTCCATGACAGAATGGGGACTCGAATCCAGGCCTTGCAGATCCCAGTTCGACACTTGAACCACTGTTCCATGAGTCTGATCTATCAGGGCTGTTGTATTCTTAACCGCTCGGATGTGTGGTGGGAAACACGACTCCCAAGTCTGCCTTCAAAAGCGCTTCCTGCTTCCATTCTGCCCCTCCTGCCCTCCCTTCAACCCCCCCCCCCGAGGGTGCCTCCACACTCCCGTGGTCAATTCCCCCTCCCCACCAAAGGGAGCTCTCTTCTTCCCCCTTTCATTAATTCAGGAATTACACCATGTGGTGCTCCCCCCAGTTGTCAAAGCCTGCATTTCCAGGGTGTGAACACACAGATGAGAGCCATTTTGGTGTATCCCAGGGGTGGCCAGACTGTGGCTTTGGAGCCGCAGGTGGCTCTTTCCCACCTATTGTGCGGCTCCTGGCAGGGCGGCTGGGGAAGCGAAGTGTCATTAGCACACAAATTATCAATGGACAAATAAATATCATTATATCTGCTTTTTCTGCTTCTGTTATTATTTTTGGCAGTCTCATTTCATGTCAATAAAAAGCAAATTTGCATATTTCCCAGTAAAAACGTGTAATGTTTGTTCATGTCTTGAGGCTCTCAAACATCTGACGTTTATTCTGTGTGGCTCTTACGTTAAGCAAGTTTGGCCACCCCTGGTGTAGTGGTTAGGGGCACGGGCTCTAATTTATTTATTTATTTATTAGATTTTTATCCCGCCGAAGCGGCTCATCTGGGAGAATCGGGTTTGATTCCCCCCTCCTCCACATGCAGCTGCTGGTGTGACCTTGGGCCCGTCACAAGTTCTCTCAGAGCTGTTCTCCCAAGGGCAGTTCTCGAGAGAGCTCTCTCAGCCCCACCTACTTCACAGGGTGTCTGTTGTGGGGAGGGGGAGGGAAAGGAGATTGTAAACCCCTCTGAGACTCCTTCAGGAGTGAAGGGCGGGGTATAAATCCGGTCTCTTCTTCTTCAAACACATGAGGCTGCCTTATACTGAATCGGACCCTTGACCCATCCAGGTCAGTACTGTCTACTCAGACTGGCAGCACCTTTCCAGGGCCTCAGGCAGGGGTCTTTCACATCACCTGGTTCTTTCAACTGGAGATGCCGGGGATTGAACCTGGTACCTTCCGCATGCTAAGCAAAGGATCTACCACTGAGCCAGGGCCCTTCCCTGAGGAACACATGTAGAAGAGAAGAAGAAGAAGAAAAGAGACTGGATTTCTACCCCGCCCTTCACTACCCAAAGGCGTCTCAGAGCAGCTTATAAACTCCTTTCCCTTCCCCTCCCCACAACAGACACCCTGTGAGGGAGGTGGGGCTGAGAGAGCTCTTAACAGAAACTGCTCTTTCAGGAACAGCTGTGCCAGAGCTTGTGACTGACCCAAGGTCACATCAGCAGGTGCAAGTGGAGGAGTGGGGACTCAAACCCGGTTCTCCCAGATTAGAGTCCGCACACTTAGCCACTACACCAAACTGTAGTTGCCTTATAGCGAACCCACAAAGACAGGAGAAGAAAATCTAAACCAACCAAGCAAAAAAAAGCTCCAAAGGAAGTTTAGAAAACTAGTTAAGGGCCAAAAGTTTAAAACATTAATAAGTAAAAGAAATCAACCCTGACTGTTCCCTGGAAGGCCAGATAATGAAACTGAAGCTCAAATACTTTGGCCCCCAAATGAGAAGGGAGCACTCACTGGAGAAGACCCTGATGCTGGGAAAGATTGAAGGTCAAAGAAGACGGGGACGGCAAAGGATGAGATGGTTAGACAGTGTCATAGATGCAACGAACATAAAACTGAGTAAACTTCAGAGGACGGCGGAAGACAGGAAGGCCTGGCGTGATCTGGTCCATGGGGTCGCGAAGAGTCGGACTCGACTGTGCGACTGAACAATAACAAAAATAGACAAAAGTGCACATGTTTATTTCAGAAACATAAAAATCTTGTAGGGGCACAAGTAAAGCCTCATAAAATAATCAAAGTGACAATATTATGATCTGACACGTTTCGGCCCACAAGAGTTGTGATAATAGTAATAGTACCAATATGTACCTTCCATATTGATGTTACATTGGCCCTGATAAGGTGGTTTTACTTGGACTCTTACGATCTAAACTGGAAGGTACATAGTGAACATAAGAACATAAGAGATGCCAATGTTGGATCAGGCCAAAGGCCCATCCAGTCCAACACTCTGTATCACACAGTGGCCAGAAATACCAGTGCCATCAGGAGGTCCAGCAGTGGGGCCAGGACATTAGAAGCCCTCCCACTGTTGACCCCCCCCAAGCACCAAGATGACAGAGCATCACTTGCCCCAGAGTCCCTATCTATACCTTGTGGCTAATAGCCACTGATGGACCTCTGCTCCATATGCTTATCTAATTCCCTTTTGAAGCCGTCCATGCTAGTGGTACTATTACTAATCCAATATATGCAATTACTTCTGGGTCCGGAAAACAATTTTTTGTGCGTGTGTCATTCAATTCCAGATTGGAACATCCCATTTTTGGTCCAAATATCGATTGTTTACTGCCTTACAAGTGTAACGGGGGCTTTGTTGCATGTTGTACTATTTGACCTCTGAAGAAGGCTCTCGTGGGCTGAAACGCGTCAGGTCGTGTGTGGTTCTTTTTTTGTTCATTTGTCCCTCTGATTATTTTATGAGGCTTTACTTGGGCCCCTACATGGCTTTTATATGTTTTTGAAATAAACACATGTACTTTTGCCTATACCTATTGATGTTGTTAACCTTTGGCCATTCATTAGTTTTCTAAATTTCCTTTGGAGGTTGCTGCCATATAGTGAACCAGACTCTTGGTCCACCGAGGTCAGTATTGCCTACTCAGACTGGCAGCAGCTCTCCAGGGTCTCAGGTTAAGGGTCTTTCACATCATCTACTGCCTGGTCCTTTTTAACTGGAGATGCCAGGGATTGAACCTGCGACCTTCTGCATGCCATGCAGAGGCTCTTCCACTGAGCCACAGCGCCTCTTGCATTTGTGAGACTTTGGCACATAACCAGGACTGGGCTTCAGTCTTGTGCCCTGCTGTGGCTCGACTCCATTGTTGGGGTTGAACCCTGGAGCACATGGCAGTTGAAGAAGAGAACTCCTCTGAGCACGGGGCGAGTGTCATTCCCTAACAGCGGAGGCACTGCAGCCAGCCTAGGCCCATTGGAAGGCCGAATGTACCAGCAAAAAGGAGCGCCCTTAGCGGATTTTCAGGCCGTCACCCCAGTGCCATTTTGTGGGATGTTCAAAACGCAGGCTGTGGTTGGTTCGTTACTCCCCAAAATTGATTTGCTCGCCTTTCAGAAGAACGTTTTTCTTCCAAGGGGCGTGCAGAAACAATCGCCGCTTGAGACGATTTCTTAGAACTGTAAAATCGGGCGGCGAAAAAGCAGAACCGCTGATGAAAACGAACGACCCACACGCCGAGGCGAGACATTTTTCACGCTCGGAACAATGCGCCTTTGTGGTGGGGGAACGGAGGAGCCCGCGTCCTCGGAGAACGCTCCGCCTGGCGTACCATGCTGAGGACAAACCCTCTCTCCATCTCTCTCTCTCTCTCTCTCTCTCTGTCTCTCTCTCTCTCTCTCTCTCTCTCTCTCTCTGGCTCCAAATAACACTGGTGTCCCCCCCCCTTTCGTGACAGGCAGCGCCACCTCGACGGCCCTGATCCTCAGCAGCCTCCTCCTTGTCCTGCTTCTCATCCTCGGGCTCTATTGCGCCAAGCGCATCGGTCTGCACAAACGCCTCTGCCAGTTTGGCAAGGGCACGAGCTGCCAGTACAGGTAAGTGGGCCCCCGTCTTCGGTCTCCTTCAGTGCCCTTTTTCAAAATGGCCGCCTCCGCCCCACAGCTCGAATGACCTCACCTTACAGCTGGTCCTCTGCCTCCTCAGGTTATTCTCTGAGACTTCCCAGCTCAGCCCCCACCCCAAGGCAGGGAATCTCCGGCTCTCTGCCTCTCCAGCTTTATCTTCCCTCCATTTCCCCAACGCCAGAGCAGACCGCCAATAAAACTAGCCGGCGGCGCCCTTGAACCATTCCCCTCCCGCACGGCCGTACGACGCTAACTCCGCTCCCCTTGCCCTGCAGTGCGGAGACGGAGTCCCGGGTGCGATTCCTCCACCCGTCTGAACAGAGAGGGTAACGTAGCTGTCACCAGAATGGCTCAATGTCTGTCCAATTGCTTTTTTGTGTTGGTGGCCTCTTGAGGGGACGGAGAGGTATCTTTGCTGTCTTTGGGCTAAGGGTACTTCGATCTGGGAGCCTCGTAACTGCTGCGGTGCCAAGTTTAGGGCTGCGTCTTTCGCCGGTACAAATCTGTTTCCACTCCTCCTTCCTCTTGGGTAGAACCCACCGTCTGTCAAGTCTGGCTGCGGGCACTCCGGGCCAAAGTGGGGTGGGGGAAAACTCTTGATTTCAAGATGCTGAAATGGTGCGCTTGGAACGTGTTCCAATCTTAGCTCACAATCTGTTCCACTTCCAAGGAATTTGGAACGAGCTGGGGAACAGAAGGTGGAACAATTTGCCATTTGGGGATAAATTGTTCCCTCTTCGTGGGGGGGGGGGGGTATGTTGCTTCTCGGCAGCGGCATCTCGTGTACTGACGACCTGGCGACTCGGTTCGCGGCATCGGCAGCTGGGAAGATTCCTGGCAAGCAGGAGTCCGGGGCCCAAGTCTCTGGAGAGCCTCTGCCAGCGTGACTCAACAGTGTCAGGCAAAATGAACCGGCGCTCTGACTGAGGACAGGCAAATTATTATGTACGGGCTGTGCCAGAGATTCCCCAACCAATTTGGTGTAGTGGCTAAGTGCACGGACTCTGATCTGGGAGAGCTGGGTTTGAGTCCCCACTCCTCCACTTGCACCTGCTGGATGACCTTGGGCAAGCCGTAGTTCCGTCAGAGCTGTTCTTCAAAGGGCAGTCCTCGAAAGAGCTCTCTCAGCCCCACCTGCCTCACAGGGTGTCTCTTGTGGGGAGGGGACGGGAAAGGAGTTTGTCAGCCGCTCTGAGACTCCTTTGGGTAGTGAAGGGCGGGGTATAAATCCAATCTCTTCTTTTCTTCTTCTTCAAGAGCAGTTTCTGTCAGAGCTCTCTCATCCCCACCTACCTCACAGGGTGTCTGTTGTGGGGAGGGGAAGGGAAGGGAAAGGAGTTTGTAACCCACTCTGAGACTCCTTCTGGTAGTGAAGGGCAGGGTATAAATCCAATCTCTTCTTCTTCTTCTTCAAGAGCAGTTTCTGTCAGAGCTCTCTCATCCCCACCTGCCTCACAGGGTGTCTCTTGTGGGGAGGGGAAAGGAAAGGAGTTTGTAAGCCGCTCTGAGACACCTTTGGGTAGTGAAGGGCGGGGTAGAAATCCAATCTCTTCTTCTTGTGCCTGTGGGGTGCCCTCAGACACTTTCTTTGGCCCCCACCAAGTGTTTTGAGTAAGTGGGTGGGTGCCGGGTGGATCTTTTGCCAGCCAGAGCTTCTGATTGGCTGCTGGAGATTTGATTGGCTGTGCAGGGGTTTTTTTTATCGCTTTGGTAGCCGCTGCTACCATAGCAGGAGGATCTTCACTACAGGACTGAAGGTAAGCTGCGGCAGCCAATGAGAGGTTGGGTCCGCCTCCCGAGGCAGCCGTTCTGTGCCTGTGGCCACCAGTGCGGTTTCAGAATTCCAAAGGTCCCTGCAGGCTCAAAAGGGATGAGGACCCTGAGCTGTTCAGAGAAGAGAGTTTGTGTGTTTTCGTAAGTTCTCTCCCAAAGCGCCGGAATTCAGGGCTACGTGCAAACGTACGCAGTTGCGTTGTACCGAATCTGGTCTTTGGTCCGTTGTGATAACTGTCGTCTGTGTCTGGCTGTGACTCATCAGACTCCCAAACACAGAAGGGTCTTTCCCATGATCTGTTACCCAAGATGGAACCAGAGCAGGCCCATAGCCAGGAATTTTTTGTTCGGGGGGGCCTTTAAGTCGGGGGGCGCCTCGCACCCCCCCCCAAGCCTGGGAGTGCCCCCATAGCCCCGGTCTCTCATGCGAGCCACCAAGGGAGAGGCATGGCAAAGGGTTGAGCCCTCCCACCACACAGCCTGAAACGGCGCACTCTATCCAGCTCAGTGAAATGTGAGGGGGCATGGGCGGTAATTCAGGGGGCCCGGCCCCAAGATGCCCCACTGTCACTACAGGCTTGAACCAGAGACGACCTACATGCAGAACACTTGCTCTTCTGCCAGTAAGCTGCAGCCCCTGAACGTGGTCTCTGCCCTGAATTATGAAATTTGCTTTAGGCTGAGTCTCAGGCACAGGAAGAGTCTTTACTGTCATCTGAGATCGTTTTAACTGGCAGTGTTAGGGACTGAGCCTGGAACCCTCCTGCACATAACCAGCAGGGGCCTCCTCACTAACAACCCCCCAGCTCTTTCATTGGTGCCAGTAGGCTGTGAATCGGACTGACAAACGAAAGTGCTTCCCCAAGTGACTCACTTCGAACTTGTGGAACTCATTGCCACAAGACGGCGGTTTTTCTCAGCGAAGCAATCAGAAGTTCCTGCAAGCCCACCGTTTTTCAGACGACAGCCGCCTCTTTGCCCTGTGCCCCAGGTTGCTTTTGATTGTATTTCTTTTGCATGCGGTTTCTGGGTGCAGCATGTGAGTGGAGACCAGGTGGATCCTTCAGTATTGGGAGGAACATTCGCAACTCCTAGGCCTGCTTCCAGCCTGCCGTCTGTAGCATGTCATAGCATCACCCAGTCTTGTGCAGTAGTAACAGCAAGGATCCCCAACCTTTTTGAGCCTTTGGAATTCTGACATGGCATAGTGGGCATGACCACAAAATGGCTGCCTGAGGAGGCGGAGCCAGCCACAAAATGGCTGCCAAAACTTACCTTAAGTCAAACATTAGCAGATCCTCGTTCTGTGGTGGCAGCAACTGCCCAAGCAGTGTTTTAAAAAATCTGCACAACGCATCAGATCTCCAGTGGCCAATCAGAAGCCTTGCTGGGCAAAAGCCCCACCCACTTTCTAAAAATATTTGGCAGGCACCAAGTTGGGAACCCCTGGGTTAGGGTGTCAGACTAAGATCTGGCAGACCCAGTTTGGCAAGGTAACTGTGGGGCCAGCCACACACTCCCAGCCTAACCTCCCTCACAGAGTTGCTGTGAAGATAAAATGGACGAGAGGAGAACAATGGAAGCCGCTTTGGGTCCCCACTGGGGAGAAAGGCGGGGTATCGTGAGGTAAAAATAAACACATAATCACCCTGCTTCAATATTTGGTGCTTGGCCCTCAAAGACTCAAGGGGCTCCGCTCAAAACCGGGGAGGGTTATCCAGCAAAGTGGTTGAAAAACACAGTCTTGATTGCGATGGGGCGTGCGATGGGGCTACCAAGTTTCCAGCGCCCTCTTGTCACGAGACACACAGTCCCGCTAGCTAACAGGAGGTGGGATTTTTCTGTGGCCTGATCCGGAGTACTGGGCAGGCTTTGGCGAACGCTGGGCGACTCGGGTTACGCTGGGTTCCAAAGCCACAATTGGCAGGGCTTGCCCCATTTCTGCCCTTTCTACACCTTGGGTGGCAGTGTTGCAGAATGTTCGGGACTGCGATCGCCCCCTTCCGTACTTCCGTGTCCTCCTAAAGTACTCCGCTTTTCCGGCAGTTCCGCTGGTGGTGGTTGTCCCATGTGATTTCTACTGATTGGTGACCAGCTCTACAAGTTTTTTTGGGAGGGAGTCATCCTGCGGAGACCATTTTGAGCGAACTCTGCGATAATCGTTATCGCCCCCTTGACCTGTTTTTCCTGACAGGATCACCCAGCCCGAACCCCGAAGTTACAGCCGGCCCCCTCCGGACCGGCCCCAACCCCCCCAGTGGAGGCAGAGCACTGAACTTCAGCTGATGCCGAGCACGAAGGTAAGTGGAGGGTGAGAGAGGCCCCCCCACACCAGTCCAGCCTCTGGTGTGAAAAGCAGAAACCGCGCCGGGAGCATTTGCAACTGGCTATAAGGGGCTATTTAAAGATCAGTTCGAAAAACGTTTAGGCGGCCGTTTCCCTGAATTCAGACGCAATACATTTTTGAAGTTTGGAAATTCAACGTTTTCTTAAGCCCCCACTCCACCCCTCGCCCCGTTTTGCCCCCAGAAACACGTTTTGTTTTTCAGCGACGGTGAGCCTACGCTTCCTGAAAACCAAAACGGTTACAGAATACCAGAGAAACGACAACGCGTCGCTGAAATGATTTCTTTCCCATTAACTCCCAGATTCTCCGATTTGCTTCCAGGTTTCTTTCTCATTTGGCGTTGAATCCCCGGTGGTGCACATCAAATTATTATGAATATTTATTACCGTTATGACAAGCAGGGGGCGCTCATAAGGATTTGTGGCGGGGGGGGGACAGTTTGGAAATCCCCTTTCCTCAAATCTCCCCCTTTAGGATTTTTGAAGATCTCAGGGACTTGAATAGGCTCCTTCCTCCCATCTTTTTTTTAATGGACTCTCAGCTGCTCTCACCTTCCTGTCCCTCGTGGAGCATGCTCAGTCCTTCGCCCACAGAAGAGTTGGGGTAAGGACATGGAGAGGCAGTGACGTCATATGCACCACTACGTCACTTCCAGGGAACACCTGGAAGTGATATAGGGGAGCTCTAGGAACCGCTCGAAACTCTGTGGTGAAACCATAGAGCTTTGGGCAATTCCTAGCACTACCCTACATCACGTTCAGGCTTTCTTTGGAAGTGACAAGTCTTGGTTTTTAAAAAAATTTATCCCACAACTGCTTGGAGCGGGAAGCCTGGCAGCTGGGTATGTGTGTGTGTGTGTGTGTGTCTTTTCTTTTGGCTAGTTTACAAAGTCATATTTTTCTGCATACCTCAGGAGTGCAATAGGAATCTAGTGAACAGTTTTTCATATTTTTCTGCATACCTCAGGAGTGCCATAGGAATCTAGTGAACAATACCTTGTTGTGTGTTTCTTGCCAAGTTTCTTGCCACTATATTATAGTTATTTATAATTATTTTCTTCTATGTGTGACTGTGTGTATATATTCATAAAAAGAATTACAGTTGCTTACTTCTGTAAGTGCGCGTGTATAACTAATCTATTGCAATGATTTATAAGGACTTGTGTGAGTAGGGGTGTATATGTATGTCTTCTGCTTTAATGACCTGGGAGTGGAGCTTGTATCCTGAAGCGTTGCTGTCGGTGATGGGGCGGGGCTTAGAGGTGTTTCTGTGGCTGGCTGAAGGGGAGTGGTCTGGTGCATTCATGTTGCTGAAGGGAGGTGATGGGGCGGGGCTTAGAGACTGTTACTATGGATGACTGGGGGCGTGGCTTTTTACTGCTGGCCAGCTTAACCCCTGTTGCCCTCTTTGATGTGTATCGTGAGGTTGTTGCCATGGGAGACCAATGGTGAAGGGGGGGGGACAATATTTAGCCCACTGCAAGAGGTGGAATACTGGCTTGCAGGCTTTGAGTATCAGGTGCCAGAAGTCAGGCAAGGCAGAGTTGTTCACTCCAGGGTCAGGGATCCAGAAGTCAGGCAAGGCAGAGGCGGTGGCATAGCGTTTATCGTATGAGTTGCGTCCACGCCTAACAGGCTTTCTTGGCTGGTTTTTATGGCTCCATGCCTAAGGGTCATCCTTGCAGCCAGCTGCTGAGAAGCAATCCTGCAGCTACTCATCCTTGTTATCAGCAAGTAGCTGGCATCAGGCCAGGAGGCATGCACTTTGCCGTCTTGTCTGTACCTCTGTTCGCAGCCTCTGTCTGCAGTGCTCTAAGGGTGTGGGTGATAGTGGTGGGCGGGGAATGGCCAACTGAGGCTCACCTGCTGAATCAGGGCTGGAAGTGGCTCTGCACCAGCTGTTGGCTGTGAAACCTGGCAAGCCTGCAGCTTATTTTCCTGCTGGCCAGCTTCTTCTGTTAACTCAAGGCTGGCTACACGGGGCTCCTCTTCTCCTGAGAAGTCCTCTCTATCGCTGAGCCCTGGCTGACCCATGACAAGTAGATTAAACTTTTTCCCTGTAGCATTTTATGCCTAACATAACTGGTCTAAGATTCAGGTGGGGTAGCCATCTTGGTCTGAAACAACAGAACAAAGTTTGAGTCCAGTGGCACCTTTAAGACCAACACAGTTTAATTCTGAGTATAAGCTCAGGAGAGCCAGTTTGGTGCAGTGGTTAACCCAACTCCTCCACTTCCACCTGCTGGATGACCTTGGGCAAGCCATAGTTTTGTCAGAGGTGTTCTTGAAAAAGAACAGTTTCAGTCAGAGCTCTCTCAGCCCCACCTGCCCCACAGGGTGTCTGTTGTGGGGAGGGGAGGGGAAAGGAGTTTGTGAGTCGCTCTGAGACTCCTTTGGGTAGTGAAGGGCGGGGTATAAATCCAATTTCTTCTCCTCTTCTTCTTCTGAGTGCATGCACACAAAACGTATACTCGGAGTTAAACTTTGTTGGTCTTAAAGATTTTGAGAATCGAGTGTAGGGTTGTATCAGGGCCTGTTAAACAGTGGGGGTTCCATGTATGAGCAGACCCCAAGTCTACCAATCAGCTCTACTTTATTAGTGATTTCAGCAAGAACAAGACCGAAAACCCCAGGGCAGCAGCCCTGTTAAATAGAATGCAAAAACCACACCAAAAACACACCCCACTCCCAACGATAGGCTGTTTACATAACGTTCGTTTCTCATTGGTCACTTCCAGAGTCCTGGTGGTCTATTGTTCTTGGGCTGCAAGCTCAGCCCGTCTCAGGTAGAACAGTTCTGGAATGTTCCAGTCCCAATACATAACAGGGCCAACCTCTTGTGCAGCGCTTCTGCCGCACTCTCCAATCACAACTGTCCCTTGTGCATCTGGGACTAAAGCTCCAGCACATCCCAGGCAGGGTTAAGCCCTGTCACGTCCCATCTTTTGAAGAATAAAGCTCTGTGTGGGTTCCCTGGCCCTGCGTTGGCGGTCTCTGGTTATTATGTATTGATTTGAACTGCACTCTCTGCATAGCAAGAGGGACTTCAATTGATTTTGAGCGTTTCGGGGACAATTGGTATCCGATTAAAGAACTCTGGCTTGACTTGCAGTGTAGTTATTCATCAATTAATTAAGTTTGCATATTTAAATGTAAAAAGCTCGATTCGAGTCCGGCGGCACCTTTGAGACCAACAAGATTTTGGGAGTGTGAGCTTTTGAGAGTCAGTTTTTTGAAAGCCAGCTTGGTGTCGTGGTTAGGAGCGTGCGGACTCCAATCTGGGAGAACCGGCTTGGATTCCCACCACGCCTCCACATGCAGCTGCTGCCGTGACCTTGGGTCAGTCACAAGTTCTCTCAGAGCTGTTCTCTCAAGGGCAGTCCTCGAAAGAGCTCTCTCAGCCCCACCTCCCTCACAGGGTGTCTGTTGTGGGGCGGGGGAAGGGAAAGGAGATTGTAAGCCATTCTGAGACTTCTTCGGGTAGTGAAGGGCGGGGTAGAAATCCAATCTCCTCCTCCTCCTCCTCCTCCTCTTCTTCTTCGCTCCCTTCATCAGATACGAGTTGGAAGCGAGGGCTACGCTGTGCCACATCCCGTCCTTTACGGAGTGGAGCTCTGTGTGGGAGCCCCAGTGCGTGTTGGTGGGCTCGGGTTGCTAGCTCTGGTTGGGAAATACCTGTAGATTTTGGAGGCGGAGCCTGGGGAGGGGAGGGGCCTCAGCGAGGGATAATGCCAGAGCGTTTCTCCCCCCCCCCCCCCCAAAGCAGCCATTTTCTCCAGGGGGACTGATCTGGGTCATCTGGAGATCAACTGTAATAGCAGGAGATCTCCAGGTGTCACCTGGAAGTTGGCACCCTAAAGCAAGTCCCAGCTAGTGTCTGAGGAAGAGTTTTGACTCTCAAAAGCTCACGATGTCCTGAAAATCTTGTCGGTTGCCACTGGACCCAGACCTAGCTGATCTACTGTAGACTCTCTGAAACTATAAAAACCAGATTCGCCTGGGCAGCCGTGCTCGTCTGAAGCAACGGAACAAAGTTTTGAGTCCAGTGGGGCACCTTTAAGACCAACAGAGTTTAATTCTGGGAGCCAGCTCGGTGCAGGGGTTAAGAGCAGCGGACTCTTATCTGGAGAACCAGGTTTGATTCCCGGCTCTTCCTCCACATGAAGCCAGCTGGGTGACCTTGGGTCAGTCACAAGTTATTTCAGGGCTCTTCTCTCAAGAGCAGTCCTCGAAAGAGCTCTCTCAGCCCCACCCACCTCACAGGATATCTGTTGTGGGGAGAGGAAGGGAAAGGCGATTGTAACCTGTTTCGGGGCTCCTTTGGGTAGTGAAGGGTGGGGATAAAAACCAACTCCTATTCCTCCCTGAAGACGTGCGCATGCACACAAAAGCCAGTTTGGTGTAGTGGTTAAGGGCGCGGACTCTAACCTGGGAGAACTGGGTTTGATTCCCCACTCCTCCACATGCACCTGCTGGATGACCTTGGGCAAGCCATAGTTCTGTCAGAGCTGTTCTTGAAAAAGAGCAGTTTCTGTCAGAGCTCTCGCAGCCCCACCTACCTCACAAGGGTGTCTGTTGTGGGGAGGGGAAGGGAAAGGAGTTTGTAAGCCGCTCTGAGACTCCTTTGGGTAGTGAAGGGCAGGGTATAAATCCAATCTCTTCTCTTCTCCACCCAGAATTAAACTTTGTTGGTCTTTAAGATGCCACTGAACTCAAACTTTGTTCTATATAAAATCCAGTCATTCTAAAGGAGAAAGGTTTACTCCCCCCCACACACACACTTTCACTATGCACTAATGTTGCAGTAGATGCCGTGTTAGAAGAGGCGTTCCCTTTCCTTTTCGCATCGGAGGCTGTGCCTCTTCTGACGCTCTCCTAGAAGAGGCCTTCCCCATCTCACATGCATAACAGGGGATGCTTTTTCTAATACCGTGTTAGAAGAGGCATTTCCACTGTCTTCCTCACACTGGAGGGAATTTGTTGCGTAAGATGGCACTTGGCTTGTTTGTTCTGCCATTAGTACTGAAAAATAATTACACGTTCTTGTCTTAAATCTGTTGCTCTCTGAGGATTTGGAATAAGTGGAATCCCTTCACAATGGTGTTGCAAAGGTTGACTGTAAAATCGGGGGGGGGGGGCTTGTAAAAAGTTTGTGGAGGTCAGAGTTGGTGATGGACCAAGTCCCAACAGCGCCCTCAAGCGTCTAGAGGATGCTACTGCAGCTTCTGCTGCCTCCTGAAGAGCCAGCTCTGTCCCGCTTCAAATGCCCCGAGAACCGAAATTCGGTGCCGAATATTAAGCCTGTTTTCGAATTAGACCCGAATGACATATTCGTGTGCGAATTGCACGTAACGATCACCGTGTCCTTTCAGGTCAGGGAGAAGTCCCTTCCTACGGTGGGATTCCCTTCCTACGGTGAGAGATCCGGGACAGAGAAAAAGGAGCGTGTGCATACCATTTCCCCATTCTGGATCGCCCCCCTAAACCCCGCCCAGAGATAATTTGCTTTACGGAGGTCCGGTCCAAGGAGGGGATCCGAAAATGGGAATGTGCTTAATCCCGCCCCCTCTCCTTCCTGGGTTCCCTTGCACATCACGCAAAAAGGTATGCCTCTGTGTTGGCTGGACTGTAATAAGGATATTGAATTGTTCCACAGGCCCCGTTCCAAGCTTCAGGCTTTTCTAGAAAATGGGTTTTCTGGCCAGGTTTTCTGGCCAGGTTTTCTGGCTCTTTCTTTGAGACTCTGGCTAATGGCTTTCCAGAAAAAGCGGGTTTTCCCACATGGTAGCTTTAAGCATTAGGAAGCATTCATTGGCCCCAGGGGTCGTTTCGTAGAAAAAGAGCTAGGGGAACTCATTAGCATAACTCATTAGCATATGCCACACCCCCTGACATCACCGGAAGTGTGTCATAAGGCCACACACCCCGCCCCCAACGGTCCCGGCCGCCGCCGCCGGCCTTACAGCTCCACTGCCGAGCCCCTTGAGGGGCCCGACGGTGGACCTGCAAGGCCGGCAGGAGTGCAAGGAAGCCCCGCGAAGGCCCTCCCTGGCCCCAGGCAGGCAGGGGTGGGGAGAGGCAGGGAGGAAGCAACTTACCCTCCCTCTTCTCCTGCCTCCTCCTGGCTGAATGAGGGCCGGAAGCGGGGCGCCCGGAAGCAGGGGGCGGGGCTTCGTCATGTGCCCCGCCCCCCGTACCTCACCCGGGGGGACTGCGCTCCCCCGCGATCCCCCCCAAAATGACCTCTGATTGGCCCCCATGTTCTGGGTTGCGGCCAGTATGGTTTCCAGGTCCCCCCCTGGCCACTGGTAGGGGGTGGGTGGGGTCAGGTTGCCAGATCCAGGTTGGGAAACTCCTGGAGATTTGGGGGTGGAGCCTGGGGAGGACAGGGACCTCAGTGAGGTACACTGCCATAGAGTCCACCCTCCCAAGCATCCCTTTTCTCCAGGGGATCTGATCGCCGTTGTCTGGTGGCGAGTTCTAATTCCAGGGGATCCCCAGCTCCCTCCTGGAGGCTGGCCTCCCCAGTGGCCAGTATGATGTAGCATCAGTCAGTGTGTCAGACTTGGATCTTAGGAGAGGCAGGTTTGAATCCCTGCTCTGCCAGGGAAGCTCGCCAGGTGACCTTGGGCCAGCCTAGCCTACCTCACAGGGAGGTGGTTGAGAGGATAAAATGCAGGAGGGGAGAATGATGTTGGGACACACTTTGGGTTCCTCCGTTGGGGGAGAAAGTGGGGTATAAATACCTAAATGAAACAACTGAGAGTTTATTGGACCGGCCTGTGGGGATTTCCCCAAATATCGCTCATCCCTTTTCCCATCTTTTCCCCCTCCCTGAGACCATAGGGCTAGAAATGTGCTTTTCAGCAAATACCTTTTTGCAAGCGTGCATATCTCAAGAGCTTTACAGTGCCAAGTTTCAGTTGTTTCATCTTCTGGGCATGGAAGCAGCAGTCACTACGGGTGCGAGTGGGGGGGAGGTATGTTTGAATTTCTTGCATTGCGCAGGGGGTGGGACTAGATGACCCTGGAGGTCCCTTCCCACTCTATGATTCTGTGAGTCTGTGAATTATACAAAGCTCTCAGGTGTGCAGAATATATACTCCGGTCTGCCTGTGTCGCTTTCTGTTGCCATCTCAGGGTGGGGAAGATATAATACCTGGAGATTTGGGGGGTGGAGCCCGGGGAGGGCGGAGCTTAGAGAGGGGAGGGGCCTCCGCAGGGTTAGAATGCCCCGGAGGCCACCCTCCAAAGCAGCCCTTTACTCCAGGGGAATGGATCTCCGTCATCTGGAGATCGAGCGTAATAAACAGAAGGTCTCCAGGCACCACCTGGAGCTTGGCAACCCTAATGTTGCCTGTTAGGTCCCCGATGCCGCCTCATTTCTTCGAAGTGGGCATTAACTCTTGCAAAGTGCTTTTCTCGGTCTGGTAGCCCTTTCCTCCCTCGTCCCCCGATGCGTAGAGGGTGGCTGCAGGGGATGGGCGGTGAAGCAGTCCTCTGCACATGCTCGGGAGTCCTCCTTTCGTGTAAACGGCACCTCACGTTCCCTGCCAGTGAAAACGGTGCTGGAACCGACCTAAGGGCTCAGAGGCCGTCCCAGAATGGGCGTGGAACTCGGGCGGGCCTCTCGATTTCTCTCTCGCTCTTTTCTCCTACTGGATGCACGTTGCATGGAATGCACTCGACCCTCGCATGTCTAGCCAGGCACGCCGCAGGCCTCTAACTCCCTCTGCCCCCCCATCTCTCTCTTTTCTTGTGGCTCCTCTTCCCCCCTTTCTGCAGCCCGCCCCCCTTGGCGACGCGCGGCCCGATCCTCCGTCCAAGCCGCTTCCTCCTGATCCGATTCCCAAGGGTCAACAGGTAACAAACCAGGGTCGGGGATGGGGTCGGGAGGGTTGGGATGGCTGCGACTGTCTCCTTAACACTCGTGCATGTCCCTGACTCTTACAGGGTGGGAAGTTTAGTGGTCCAGTCCAATGCTCCCTCTAAGCTGTGGAGTCTTGTGAGCAAAAATTCTACTTTGGGCGCTACCGGCATGAAAGTTGTGAGCGGGCGATTTGGCTGCTGCATAAATTACTTTGCCCCAGAGCCATCCTTCCCGGGCTAAGACAAAAATGTATGATCTGGAGGCTAAAAAACTGCAAGCTAGCTCACACTTAACTCAGCTTAGAGGGATCGCTGGCCCAGTCTCCCCATCTATCCCCCAGGCTCGGAATTAGTACAGTCCGGAAAGGCACTTTCATGCAATATTGGCCAAGCCGACTTGTGAGTGCCCCGCTGAGATTGGTTTGTTTATTTAGGGTGCATTTTATCCCGCCTCTCCCAAGGCCAATCCCAGTGCAGGTAGTGCTGGCACAGACGGAATGGCCCCCAAAAAACCAGCGAGTTCCTTCCCAGCAGTGGCTGTGGATTCAGTGCCAAAGTTTAAGGTTGCTGCCCCCTACAGGTGGAGGTGGAAAGTGCCCTCGAGCCACAGCCAACTTTGGGTCACCCCCTCGGGTTTTCAAGCCAAGAGACGGTCAGAGGTGGTTTGCCGTTGCCCGCCTCTGCGTGGCGACCCCGGACTTCTCCGGTGGCCTCCCGTCTCAGTACGAGCCCTGCAGCCTCGGCAGCTCCACCCCGATGGAGGCTCCGCAGTTTCCCACGAATCAGATCTTCCAGGGCTGAGTTCGGCCCCTCCACTACCCTATCCTGGACCAGCAGAGCTGTAGTTTTCCAAGTCTGAGTATTGTCGGCTCTGGAGAGGGCAGCGGCTTTCTGTGAACTCCAGGAGAGCACGCCCCCCTCCCCAAGGCCTGCTACAGGGGATCTGGAGAAGCCAGGGATTGAACCAGGGTCCTCCCACACGCCAAGCAGGAGCTCTGCTGTTGAGCTATAGATCACACCTAAGGCAATTTGAACCCACAGCCTTTGTTTCGACAGCCAGCCTAATTTCCCCCCACTAGGTGACAGCCGATCTTAGATTTAGCAGTGGCAGATCTTGGCAAACCAGCCCCCCCAGTGGCTTTCAGACCCCCCCCCCCTTATGCACACTGTCTGTACCCCAGCATGTTTTCTCTGCCCTTCCTCTTTCCGCCCAGGCTGTGGCCGTGGACAGGCCAGCGCCTCCTATGCGCCCGCTGCCTGCCGACCCTATTCCCAAAGCTGCACAGGTAACGGGCACCAGTGTCGTGCTGTTTGTGGTGCTATTTGGTGATGTGGGGAGGGGGGGCGCTTGGGTAACTTTCAGGAGGGGAAGGCACAGGCCCATAGCTATGATGGGGCCTTTGGGGGCTCTGCCCCCTTTCTTAAAGGCACAGCCTCACGAGAATTTCTCCGGTAAATGCTTCTTTCAATTGCTTTTAAACATTTTTTTAAAGGCATGCGCTCTTTTAAGTAGAGTGGGGTGCTGCAGTTGATGAATTCCTGCACTGAGCAAGGGGGTTGGAGTAGGTGACCTCTAGGAACCCTTCTAACTCTGTGTCAAGAAACTGGTCTCCTTTAAGAGAGTTTTTCTGCCTAAAATGTCTAGAAGTCATCACCCCCACCTGCCGGCTTGTTATCAGAATTGTTGCTTAGGCTGGCAGAAGTGATTAACTTGCAGCAGCTGAGAACTGTCATCCAAAGTGGTTGACAGCTTGCAATTTAGAGATTTGTCCTGGTCACAGCTTTCTATTGGCTAAATGGCTTTTCTGGCTGCACGGAGAACTTCAGCCCCACCAGGAAAAAAGTTGCCCCACAAGCCACAAAATCCTGGCTCTGGGCCTGGGGAGGCATATGGAGGTGAAGTGAGGTGCAAGACAGTCTCCATTCCCTGCCAGACCACGGAGACGTTTGAGCCTAGGTTACGGCCACCTGATTCTGCCAAGGGACTAAGCCTCCTCTGTTCACTACACAGGCCCCTGGTCCCGCCAAGCCCCCGCCACCCCGGAAACCGCTCCCTTCCGACCCGCCCCGGACAGAACCGTCTGCTGTGCCTATTTACGATCCTCAGGTCCTGATGCTGCCGGCCCGGTGAGTGAAAGGGGAAGGGGTGAGGGAGGGAGGAGGTGGGCCTCCTAACTGTTACTTTTCCAGATGGCGGAAGTCGGGGGGGGGCTGTGTAGGGGGTAGCCTACTTCGGGAGGGGCGTGGCTTAATTACAGAGCACCTCTTTCACATGCCAAAGTTCCCAGGTTCAATCTTGGGCATCTCCAGTTCAAGGGTATTGGGTCACCGCTCGTTTTACCCACCAGAAGAGGAGGAGGAAAAGAGGAGATTGGATTTGTACCCCACCCTTCACTACCCGAAGGAGTCTCAGAGCGGCTTACAATCTCCTTTCCCTTCCCCTCCCCACAACAGACACCCTGTGAGGTAGGTGGGGCTGAGAGAGCTCTGAGAGAACTTGTGACTGACCCAAGGTCACACCAGCAGCTGCACGTGAAGGAGTGGGGAATCAAACCCCGTTCTCCCAGATTGGAGTCCGTGCTCCTAACCAGTACACTGTAAGAGGCTGTGGCTTGGGAGCTCTTAGGATCTTCCACCTCTGACTCACTCTCCCCTTCATCCTCCTTCTCCTCTTCTTCCTCTCTGGGCTCAACCTGTTTAACCTTTCCATTTAACATCCTCCCTAAACTCAACCTGTTTAACCTTTCCATTTAACATTCAACGTCAACACCAAACACTAAAAGTGTTGGACTGGATGGGCCATTGGCCTAATCCAACATGGCTTCTCTTATGTTTCCTGCTTGTGCAGGAAAGGTGGGTTATAAATCGAAAATAATAAATAATCAGGGGTCATTTCCTGCAGGAGCGCACAGGAGCGGAGCTCCGGCAGTAAAGAGCCCAGGGGGCGGGCACATGCAACAAGCCCCACCCCCTGCTCCCAGCAGCCCTCAGTCAGAGCAAGAAGCAGCCAGGTAAGCTGCAGAGGCTCCCCCGGCCCCCTGGTCCAAAACCTTTAAGACTAGGTTTTATTCAGGTACAAGCTCTCCCTCCTCTGTGAGGACAGATCTGCAAGTCCCCCCCCCCCATAGCTAGCAATCCAAAACAGTCCAGTGGAGCCTGAGCGGTGGGTGTTGCCTTCTGACACACTTCTAGTGATGTCAGGGGGTGTGGCATATGCAAATAAGTTATGCTAATTAGTTATGCTAATGAGCTCCTGCACCTCTTTTTCTACGAAATGTCCCCTGTAAATAATAATAATAATATGTTCTTAGGAGAGGAAAAGGATGTTGTAAGCCTCTTGGGTCCCCGTTGGAGAGAAAAGTCGGGGTATCAACGAAGCCAGTAATAGTTCCAGCTTGCGGACAACGGAAAGAAAATCTTGGGGAGCTGGTCGAGTTTCTCCTTGTGGCTCTGAAGGTCCCGTAACTATTTTTTCACCAGAGGCTGGGGCACCCCTTTCTCCAGATCCTGGTGATGTTTGCCAGCCCAGGCAGAGGACAGTTTGTTTCATGCCCCAGGGCTCTGCTGTACATTGAGGCCTTGCAGAGGCGGCCGCCTGCCAAAGATGCGCGGGCGAGGAAACGGCTGGATTTGCAGCTATGCCCTCCAGGGCTGGTGACAAGTGCCTTTCTTCCCGTCTGGCTCAGTCCGTAGCGAGTCCGGTTCTGTCTCCCTGGCATGAGGGACACGGTGGCCTTCCGAAGCGGAAGTCTTTGCCAGCCGCAAAGACAAACACTGGTCCCTGGAATGCCACAAGAAAATGCAGCCTGGGACTTTCCCATGAAATTGCAGGAGAATGACTTATTTTGCTTATTTTACTTCATTTCCGCCCTGCCTTTCTGCCCAATGGGGGATCACGCTTCTCTCCTTCTTTCCCCCCCTCACAACGACCCTGAGAGGCGGGATAGGTGGGAGTGTGTGTGACTGGCTCAAGGTCCACCCGGCAGGCTTCCATGGTGGAGTGGGGAATCGAACCCGGGTCTCCCAGATTTCAGTCCATCCCTCTAGCCACCACACCGGCTCTCAGTTGATCTGCTTCGTTTTATTTATTTATTTTACTAAATTTATACCCCGCCCTACCTCCCCAAAATGGGCTCAATAAACAACAATAAAATCAACAATAAAATCAACAAGCAATAAAAACAGTAAAAGAAATAAATAGCGACGGCAGATCAAACCAAACTCGTGCCTTATGAAATAATTACCCCAGGAAACTCCGGCAGTTATTTCATAAGCCATGAGTTTGGTTTGATCTGCCATTGCTGTTTGTTGTTTTACTGGTTTTTATTGCTTGTTGATTTTATGTTGCGAGCTGCCCTGAGCCCGGTTTTGGGAGTAAAAGGTTTCCCTTGCTCGAAAGCCAGTCGAGTCCGACTCTAGGGGGTGGGGCTCATCTCCGTTTCCAAGCCGAAGAGCCGGCGCTGTCCGAAGATGTCTCCGTGGTCATGTGGCCGGCATGACTAGATGCCGAGACGCATGGAATTCTGTTACCTTCCCACCGAAGTGGTACCTATTCATCTACTTGCAATTTCTTGCTTTCGAACTGCTAGGTTGGCAGGAGCTGGGGCCAGAGACGGGAGCTCACTCCGTCATGCGGCACACTCGGGTCTCGGACTGCTGAGCTACCGACCTTCCGGTCTGCAGCTCAGCATCTTAACCTCTGAGCCACCGTGGCCTTTTTTGGGGGGGTAGGGTGGGGTATCAATTTAATTAATAAATAAATAAATATGAAGCGGATATGCTGAGAGCCAGTGTGGTGTGTTGCCTAGAGTATCCCACCTTTCGCCCCAGCAGCTTTTATTATTCTCCTTGCTTCCATTTTATCCTCACAACAACCTTGCCAGGTAGGCTAGGCTGAGAGGGTGTGCCTGGTTCAAGAGTTGGGATTCAAACCTGGGTCTCCCAGCTCCGATTAGCAGAAGATGATCTTCGTGGGGGCGGCGGGGCTTCAGCCCCCGCCGAAATTTTCAGGAAGGTGCTCAGCCTCCCCCGGGAGCCACCCTTGCTCCTAGCAAAGCAATGCCTCTGGCCCAGCCCCAGCCCCCCCCCCCCCCGCGGAATTGGAAAGTCTACACCCTTACTCCCCTGTCTGAATAAGCCTGAGAATCCAGCTCCTGGGAGTTTTAATTGAGATCTTGATCACAACCTGTCCTTTTATGGAAACTCTTCCGGGGGGACGGGGGGGGGGGGATCTAGTCAGTCCTCACGCACTAGAAACGAAAGCAAATTTCAGAGTATGTGTATTTATTCAAATGGTTGCTGTACCACACACATGAAGGTTCCTTTATACTGAATCAGACCTTTGGTCCATCAAGGTCAGTATTGTCTGCTCAGGCTGGCAGCGGCTCTCCAGGGTCTCAGGCAGAGGGGTCTTTCACATCACCCATTGCCAGATCCTTTCACTGGAGATGCCGGGGATTCAACCCATGACCTTCTGCATGCCAAGCAGGGGCTCTTCCACTGAACCACAGTCCCTTCCCGTGTCTCTCCAGGGTCTCAGGCAGAGGTCTTTCCCATGACCTACTGTCCAGTCCTTTCAACTGGAGATGCCGGGGATTGAACCTGGGACCTTCTGCGTGCCAAGCAGAGGCTCTTCCACTGAGCCGCTGACCCTCCCAACTCATAGCCAAGGTGCTCTAGGTGACTGAGTAAAATGTGCCCATAAAAAGAATACACAGTAATCATTTTTTTTAAAGTATTACATGGTTTACAGGAAGGCGCAGTGCTCAGGCCTCTCAAACAGCGGCTGCCGCGCCAGTAAAACTTCCCTGATTCAGACTTGAAAACTTCCCTGGCGGATTGAGAGAGCCGAAAAGCTCAAACAGCTTTTTGGAACACAAGAAATAGAAAGCTAGGCGGTATAAATACGTTCACAGCGGATCAAGCTGTTCGTCGGTTCAAAGTGGCAGAGTCAGAAACGGTGGCCGGCTCGCTTGAAAGAAACGCCAAGTGGCCCGATTTATTACGCTTTTTAAAATCCAGCTGCTCAGCCTAAAATTGGCTCCCAGAGGGGCTTGCGGGGATAAAAACGCAGTGCGAGTGGCATTACAATTCCATACAAATCTGCCTTGGGGAGAAGATTCTCAGTTTCAGGTGAAGATGAGCATGGGGAAGAGGTGTCTAGCTCTCTCTGACAACCCCCATCGATGACAAATTAAACATCCAATCATAGAATCACAGAGTTGGAAGGGACCTCCATGGTCATCTAGTCCAACCCCCTGCACAATGTAGGAAATTTACAAGTGCCTCCCCCCCCCCACACCCCCAGTGACTGCTACTCCACGCCCAGAAGATGACAAAAAACGTCCAGGATCTCCAGCCAAACAGGTCTGGAGAAAAATTGCTTCCTGACCCCGTAGTGGTGAACGGTATTTCCCTGGGCCACAGGAAACCGTTCCTGCCCTCCCCCTCGTGACCTGCCTAAGTTCACAGAGTCAGCCTTGCTGTCAGATGGCCATCAAGCCTCTGCTTGAAAACCTACAAAGCAGGAGAGCCCACCACCTCCTGAGTGCCACTGAGGAACCGCTCGTTCTTCCTAATGTTTAGCCGAAAACTCTTCTGATTTAATTTCAAACCGTTGGTTCTTGTCCAACCTTCTGGGGTCACAGAAAACACCTCCGCCCCATCCTCTACATGACAACCCTTCAAGTACTTGAAGATGGTTATCCTATCACCTCTCAGTCGTCTCCTCTCCAGGCTAAACATACCCAGCTCCTTCAACCTTTCTTCATAGGCCTTGGTCTCCAGACCCCTCACCATCTTCGTTGCCCTCCTCTGGACACGTTCCAGCTTGTCTATATCCTTCTTAAATTGTGGTGCCCAAAACTGAACACAGTACTCTAGGTGAGATCTAACCAAAGCCACCTGATTAAAGGAATTTTAAAAATTACTAATTTTTAAATCTGGTGCCTAAAATGTAATATAGGAAGTGCCAGGTGGATGGTGGCAGGGGGTTCCGCAGATAGGGTGCCGCCACAGAGAAGCCCCTGTCCTTTGTCGGCACCACCTGCCTCCCTTAAGTCAACAGGAGCCTGCACAGGGGTACCTCCAAAACAGACTCTACGGCTTCTTTTTCCTGCCCCCAGGTT